CAATGCTAGCAGGCACCCTTCATCAAACACTGTTCAACCAAATAAATTGTCGAAGTACAACATTCTAGAAAAGCCTGGGAAAAATACTGGTTTGTGTTGTTCCTTATAATAATTACAACATTATAAAATCCTCTGCATACAAGGCTTCAAGTCTTAATGCCTCTTGTTCCTTGTTCCATATCTTTTGCTAATTTGGCTGCAAGATTATTCAATACATAAATTAAGTGCAGTACAGAAATCTAGATTAAAAGTAATGCTTCTGTGGCCCCTTCCCTTCTTTTAAGACAGCTTTCATCTTTGCATGAATAATTCCTCAAAACATAAGAAATGTGTGAGGTAAAAATGAGACTAAGCCAATTTACTTCCCTAATGGTCTCTTAACACAGCACATACATTCCCATTGCCTTACTCCTGAAATCAAGAAGTGTATCTGAATTAGTTGGCAACAGGACATTTGATAAACACAGAAACCAGACACTAGGAGACTATAATCACAGCAGGTCTGGTGGTTGATGGCTGCCATAAAGTGCAAGAGCCAAGTCCAAAATAAACAACACCTACTCTTTTGGAATGACAACAGACATTTGAGCACAAAGCAAGAACGCTGTAACTGGAGAAAAACCACAGGCTGCCCCTGGACATCTCTCTCCCAGTGAGCAACTGCAGCACCAAAAATAAGTAATCTCAATGAATGGACGCAAGCACTTTCCTCCTTGAAAGTCTGAACACAGAACTTCCTGGAACAAGACGTAATAACAGATGTAGGAATGATAAATTGCACTAGTCAGCTCGGAGGAGGAGTTCAGCGTGGATTTGCAGCTCCCTCTCCTGTAGAAATTCTTACCTAAACTGTTGCAAACCTGCCATAGCAAAATAAAAAGTGTCAGTTATCAAAAGTAATTTTGTCAGTTTAAAACAAAAAACAGGTCTAAAAAAATGTATAAAAAACTCGAGACACACAAATGACCAATGTGGTAGTTTCATTAGTGTAGTGCTCTCCAGCACATACTGTACTGTAAAAGGATGCTTTCATACTGTGTAGGACGCTGCTCAAAACAAGAGTTGCTCTCATGGATACACACCAGAATAACTTCACTGATTATTTCAATTCACGACGTGCTAGTTTGACATTAAGAAAGCAAGTTTACATAAGAATGGTTACAAATGACTGGATGTCATTTGGCTCGTCTAGCTCATTTGGTATTTACTGTAGTAACTAACTGATCTAAGAATCATATCCAGCCAGAAAGATGTCAGGTTACTGTCTTCAACAACATGGATGGATAGCTTGTTCCATATATCCACTTGTTCCATACTCCCACAGGATTTACATTCAAGAAATTATTTTTTAATTACATTTAAAAAACATGCTCACTCGAAAGGCAGTACTTCACAAGCAAGACAGACTTATTCCGTACATTTCATGCAAGATTACAAAAATAACATTTTACCATTCTAGCTTGAGGTCATTTCACCAGCGCTAAGATGTTTGTGTTTCTCATCCTTCTAAACATTCTTCCTTCTAATGCCAGATGTGTGCTCTGAAATGCTCATCCAGCATTCATTTACTGTAGCAGTAGTGTATTTGCTCAACAGGGAAGCATGGCGAAGAACCATTTCTTAAAATGCTGAGCTAAAAACATTTCTGCACATACAATAACAGTTCTAAAAATTAATTTTGTTCTGAAAAGGCCAATTTGTAGAATCTTAGCCTGAAATTCTATAGAAATTCCAAAAACATCTACTTAGAAAACACAGTTCTTCCAAAGAAATTTCAAGGCAGGCTACTCTTCTCAGAAACAGCACAGCCTCCCAAGGGTCTCTTCCTCAAAGGAAGCATCACCTTCTACAGTGAGTGTGAAATTAGGTTTTACCCAGGCTACTTGCAGCATTGAAAGTGGATACTCCCTCTTACACTGAGTAGAAAAGCAAAACACAGTGACTTCATGTCTCTAATGGCACACTTTATTTAGTGGGTTTCACTGTATTTAACCCTGCTAGAGATCAGTATTTGTTTTCACTTCAGATGAGACCTAAAGTGTGATAAATGCCTCTTGTGCACCAGTCTGATGCCAGGTTTCCCTCTGCTCCGACTCTTCACTATGAAATGCAGAAGTAGGCAACAATAGGATCAGGGAGAAGCTTCCTATTATAGTTTGAAATTGTTTTTTCAACTCTCTCTCGATAGTGAAATGTTCCTTTAACCTCTTAGCTACTGGGACATACAGCGTCCTCTATAGCCAAAAGAAAAATACATTACATGACACAAAGATTTAGAGATACTGTCTCTTGTTTAAAAATTAAACATGTTCTATTGCAATCTTCATAGCATTGCTCAGAGGAAAGTAATTATTATCAGAAATGATTAAGCCCAGGAATCATGAGGGTTACCTTGAGAATGAATAGGGTGTAATCACATGTACTCACACCTCTGTAGTTAGTGTTGTGTAAATCTTCCTCTGGCGTGGATCATACTGACACCTCCTGTAGTGTGCCAAGAAGGTTTCGGGTGTAATTTGCCAAGTTCAAGAAACCATGGCCATATTAATGCCGGTGATGCTGAATAGTAGTTCAACACTTTGTATTGAGAAGATTCCAATTTATGTTGGAGATCTCCAGCTGTTGCTACTGGATTTACAGTATACTTGTGTTCCATAATATACTTATCTCACATTCCATGGTAGAGAGATAATAATAATACTATACTATATACATTATTAACACTTATATAGCGCTTTTCTGGACACAACACTCAAAGTGGTATACAGGTAATGGGGACTCCCCTCCACCACCTCTAATGTGTAGCTCCCACCTAGATAATGGGGCAGCTGCCAAAGTAAGGCAGTCAGCTCACTACACATCACACGTCAGTGTTGAGGAGAACAGAGCGATGAAGTCATGGGGAGGGGGGGCATCAGGAGGGTGAGCGCTCCCTACTGGTCCTATTTAAACCTGTTCCAGCAGCAACCTTAGCTTTCCAAGGAGGTCTCACATCCAGGTACTGGCCAGGTTCACACCTGCTGAGCTTCAGAGGGTTGCCAGGTGAGAGTTGCAGAGTGCTATTTATGCTGAGATAAACTTGTGTCCACTTATGACAGGGTGGCTACTATGCCCATAGCCTTATATTTCCTAAAAATGGACACTACAGTAGAAAGTGCTAGATTCAGCATATCATTTTTTATAACCATACCACAACTCGTAGACTACAGAGACAACCTTCAGTCTTTGGAGAGCTCTTGGACCATGATAACGAATGTCTTCTACTACTACTATGTCTGCTGCTGCTACAATAACTGCTATTACTACTCCTATCACCAAAGACCATGGGGTCTCTGGTGTTACCCCATTTTATACACCAAGGAAACTTCTGTTTAGGTCTGGAGGACTCCATTGCACTTCCAAAGGACAGGATATTGCTGTAGATTTGCTTTTGTTGTATTTTATTTAAAGGAAAACTTTAAATGTGACCCTCATGAATTAAATGACAAGTATGACGTTTCTCTATGCTATACTATTTTGATTACACTATACGGTATAAAACAAGACATTATACAATCTGTCACTCATTTTTATGTTTCTTGTTTCTCTACATCTTTGTTTGTCAAGCACTTTGAGCACTTCTTTTATATGAAACTAAGCTGTATAAAATAAAAACTGAGTGGATTAGATAATTGCAGAATGTTATTTTATTAACATTACAGAATGTTTATTTCATTAGTAATTTTTTTTAAATTACTTAATATTCACAAAAGCTAATCCCAACATGAAGGAAAACCAAGAGGAAAAGTATTTTTTCAATGCAAGTAAAACATAATTTACTACATCTTGACAATGTAGCAATAAACAAAATGTTAGGATATACAATATACAGTAGTTTAAAGCAATACATTTGAATAACTTTAAATGTTTCGTTCTAATTATATATTGCACTAGTAAGGCTTCATTTACAATACTGAGTAGATTTAAAACATGTTCCACAAAAGATCTTGCTGTTCTGGGATAAGTTCAGAGAGGACCTACCAGACAAATTCTGTGGTTTAATGGAATCACCTACAATGACAGGGTAAAACCATTTAAGCCTTGATCAATTAGTGAAGACTGCAAAGGAATTAGATTGAAGTATTCAAAACTGTCACAAACATTTATAAATTCAGAACTGTAGACTTCAGGATTGACAAGTGGAATCTACAGCATGAGGTTGTGCATTTAAAAGCAAGAAAGGGGAGCACTTCTTTATACAAAACGACGGCTGTTGGAGTATTGAACAAGCTACTCAGCCATGTTGATGAACCCAATACCCTGATTTCTTTCACGGAACAGCTAGATGACAACCTTGGATCAAGTAAACACTACTGTACTGTAACTACCAAACCAGCTACATGGATCTAATGGATTCCTCATGATATGTAACTGCTCTTACATACAGTTGATTCAAATACACAGTCCTTTGAGTTGCTTTGTCATCAACACCCCCTAGTGACTGAATGTGTGTGTTTTTTACACAAACCTGTTCTTAAAGGTACTGTAGTATACCATTTTTTCCCCACATTCCTAGGTAAAATGCACAGGGTATAAATGTGGACATTTTTGTTGCATGTGACATGTTGGAACCATGAGAAGCGCAAACCTTAAAATAATAATAATAACAACAACAACAACAACAACAATGCCGGGGTAACACTCCTATTCTTTTTGAGAAATGCCATGGGAGTTTTAAAGATTTAATGACCACAGAGAGTCAGGACCTTGGTTTTATGTCTCATCTGAAGGAAGGTGTCTTTATACAGTATAGTGTCCCCGTCACTATACCGGGGCATTAGGCCCCACACAGACCACAGGGTGTGCACCCCCTACTGGGTCCCACCTACACCTCTTCCAGCAGCAACCTTAGCTTTCCCAGGAGGTCTCCCATCCAGGTACTGGCCAGGCTCAAAACTGCTGAGCTTCAGTGGGTTGCCAGTTGTGATTTGCAGGGTGACAAAAATAGTTTTAAGACTTACCACAGGTGTAGATCACGTTGAGATATTTGTGAATGCCCGAGTAACAAGGGTCCCCAAATTCACGGGAGGTGGCGTGCACACTGCAGATTCTCTTGCCGTGACACCGATCTGTCATTATCTGAAGTGCAGTACCTGTCTGGCATTCTGGAATTACACAATTGTTAGGGTAAGAGCAGGGAACCGGAAACTTTCAATTAAAAATAAAGAATAATGTGATAGAATTGTCTTTTATTTTGATAACCTGACACTTCTGTGCCATACAGTATCATATATCATACATATATTATATATCATATATCAGTATATTCTTTATAAGGTGACATTTATTCTTAGGGTGATGTGTGTCTGTAACAAGTAAGCATGAATGTAAAAGCAAGATGATTCACATTGATGAGTATAAGCTACTCATCAAAACTTTGTTAAGCCTTTTTTTTAAATTGCAGATTACCTCTATCAAAACAAAGAGCTCATGTCCCAGCTGATTTCAAGGTCTAATGTATTATCTTCTTAGTAACTCATGCTATTTGATTTACTGTTGCATTAGCCCAAACTATAATTAGAAAACGAAAACTGCAGAAATCTCCAATGGTATTAAAGCCTGGATATGATATAAAGTCTGCTGTGCTTTCATTGAACATGAACTGATATTAGGAATGTGTCTACTCTAAGATGTGTGTTCATCTGTTATCAGTTTGAACCCCTGTGATACTCTATCTGGTTTAAAAATAGCAAGACCACACAAAATACTGGCCTCAATTCATCTTATGCGATCATTATCCTAACAGATGAGACAACAAAAGCTCATACCAATGCTGAAATAAAAATTGTTGTTGCCATTCCAAAAGTTTATCAGAAACTGAAATACATCTGAAAAGCATTTCTCAAAATGTGGCATTAAGGGTGAATGAGATTAGAGTGAATCCACCAAATTAAAACAAGTGATTCACCCAAGGTACTGTAAAATGCTAGGAGTTTTCAAGTAACTTTTTTTTTTTTAGAAAGAAAAAATATTATTCCATTCACCTAAATACATTCTAGGTGGCATTTTAATGGGATGCTGTGATGTCCCACAACAGAACTGTTTGTGATCTGGACATCTGATACAGAGAATGTCAGTGTGCATCACAGACATTACAACGATGAATGAGGAACTCTTGGTCATAAACCTTATCTAAGTATATAATGTAACTTCCAAGGTCCTGTGAGTCAATATCATTTTTATCTTTATAATCATCCCTTTTGATGTTACAGTGCACAATCTTCAATGGGACTTTCATAACTCAGTAGTAGTAAAAGCTATTTGGTGTTTGCCAAACTTCAATTGGCTGGCAATAAATCAAACAATAATAGCTGTCAGTTTTTCCACTGCTTCTGCCACCAGGCAGTTAAGATCTCTCCCCTGAGCTTGAATGATACTGTGAAAGGAGTAGTGGGAAGGACACAAAGTTACACCTAACAGTCGCTGGTCGTACCTGAGCCAACCTTGTATAAGTGTGCTAAATAAAGCAATAAAGAAATTACACTGGGCAAAAGGGAATGCGCTCTGATCATAAACTGGACTAAAACAATATGATTTATAATGTGAAGTCCCTTAAACATTAAAAGCCAACCCATTCATCAGTTTTCTAACAGTTTCATCCAATTCAGGGTTTTGGGGGAGTTGGAGCCTCTCCCGGCGAGCAAAGTACACAAGGCAAGATCCACCCTGGAGGGGATGTCAGTCCTTCACAGGTCAGGTAGACAAACATGAACACAGACATGCACAACGGCACCAGTTATCCGAGAAACAAATTAACCTACCAGGATGTTTTTGGACTGTGGGAGGAAACCCATGCAAACATTAGGAGAATGTACAAACTCCATGAAGATAGCACCTCAGTCCAGAATTGAACCCAGAGCCCCAGTTCTGCAAGGCAGCAATGCTGACCACTGCACCACTGTGCTGCCCATGAAATGACAAATAAAAAGTAAAATTGAGGAGGTCAGAAGCACTGGATTTGGTTCCCAGATTGACTCCATACAGGAAACAGAGGCAAAATGTTATGTTTTATTTGTTGGTCACTTCACTGTACTGTATTTCTGAGCAGGGTAAAGAGCTTTAGTTTTTTCTAAGAAAGGACTTTAGGAGTTTGTGCCCACGGGTACTTTAATCAGCATTTTAACAACTTTTTTGTACAAGAATGTCAATGAAATCAAAATTAGACATCTGCTGCTGACAACAATTAAATGTCTGGGGAAAAAACAAACTGACAATAGATGTGAAAACCCAATAGCAACAGTATTAGAAGAGACAAAATATAAAACTACTGAAAATCATCTGTACAAAATGCATTTACAGTGTAAAGCACACCTTTTAAATCATATACATTTTTAAAGTTCATTCAACTAGTACAGAAGTTTTGTAAAATGCTGCTGAAAGAAACAGTATGACAAGAATTCAGCATGATAAAAAGTAAAACCAACATAAAGTGTGAAATGTAGCATGTGACAGCTTTTGCATTTTGCACGACTATATGTGTGCAAAATATATATTTTGCACTTTGTTGCCAATTTTCAGCAAGCTAGAAATTTCAAAAAGTTCAAGGCTTCCAGGTTTTTACAATATTCTTTCTAAAACTAATGACGAAATGAACAGGAAGGCTGACTTCACATGAACATTTTTTTCCATCTCAATAAGTCACCACAATGACTGTAACACATTGATTGCTTTAGATCATCACCCACTTGCAATTTTAAAAGCTTTTTTTTAATCTGTTCTTTTCTATTTTGCTATTTCTGGTTATTACTTGTTAGCTAAGATTCATAAATGTGTCTCTAGGCAGGTTTCTGGATATTGAAACGAGTGGTATAAATTTACTGCATTCTATTCACAGTTAGAACAAATGTTTGTCTTTAATAAACATACAATTAGCAAAACAGCTGGTCTGGTCATTAGCAGATTGTTGTAATCTTTAAGAAACTGATGTGCTTGAACAGCACTAATTAGGATTTTACATGCAGATAAAGACTACATAAATAAAGGCTAAAAACTGGCAGTAGTATCCTAACACATTCTGTACCATGATAGTTTTAGTATTGTGTATTCAAAGACCTCTAGTAGGAGATTAGATCATAAAGTTGACCTCAGAACATTTGGTTATGTGGGTCACAGTGACAAATGGCTCAAAAGCTATAATACGCAATTAAAAGTTTTAAATCGGTCCTTTGAAGGAGAGCTGAGAAAGTGTCTAAGAGCCAGGGCTTTGATAATTAGACTGTGTCCATGGTTATAATTCTTATCCGGGACACCCTTGCATGAAATTATGGGAAACCAAATCCAATTATTTCAACTGTAGCAGCTTGACTGTGACAGACATATGAGTCTTATTGCCTGTTTGAGTTTTTGGTCATTCTGTTTTTAGCGTCAGAAGACCTTTGTCCAATTTGCAAATTATTAACACATCCAGAACTTAAAACACTGCAGTACTAAGGTCTGTAATTCATATACCAATTACTACAAGAAGTCAAACCTAGGCACATACAGAAATTCATGACATCAAGGCCCACAGGCGCCACATTTTCTTTTTCCCCAGATACTGACAATCTGTTTGTTTTTTCTTAGGATCCAAGTGCATGTCATTCTAAGAACACACAGAAACTGTACAATAAAACAACCATGTTTTCATTATGTTAAGTCCAGTAGGCTGAGTATGCTAGTGTCATCTTTATGTCAAACACAAAACTTGAGCAAGCCCAATTTTTTTCAACTTGAATAACCTTATTGTCCAAACTTTTACAATGAAGTAGCACAGTCAGTATATTTCAGACTACTGTTTTTATCCGGAAATGCATGTTCATTTTGGTTATGTCTTTTGCTACAGGTACCTGAGCAGTCAACTTGATTGATTGCCTCTTTACTCTCTTGGAATCTGCCAGATCAAATTTCCTTGGCCTAAGTGCAGTATACACCATGAAGCAAAGTAATAGCACTCATGACAATGCTCACACACGAACTCACTGAATTCCCTTACGAGCAATTAGTGAACAAGAAATCCAGTGCTAAATGTAAATGGAGGCGAGTGGGTCTAATCTTCTGTCACCTGGTAATATATACACTGCAAATGTCCTCTGCAGATTAAAGCTTCATCTGTGGAACTTTTTCCCCGTTTGACCCCATATGTCCTTTAAAAGCATTCCCACAGCTGAAACGCAAAGAACTGCAAACAGCTTCCATTCACTCCCGCATTCCAAATCTGACTCGCATCAA